AAACCCAGCAAAACTAGAAACTGTTTTTCTTCTTAGCTGGCCATACATTTTTACAATTTTACTTTATTTTACTTCAGTCAAATGTTTCCCAACCAACTCCAGAAATACACACTAAGGATGAAGCATGAGGAAAGATCCAATACTGTATACTTGGTCACTTGTAGGGCTGCAGAAATGGAACTCCCTGTCAGGAAAGGATTTTCTAACTTCTAGGTTGCATATCAAATAATATCTGCTTTTAGCTGGCTGGTTTTAGCGTGCTCAAGCTATTAATGAGTCAAATGATACTGGCGTTAATTTATAACTATAGGGAATACAGAACTACCTCCTGTTTTCATCTGACAAACGGTCATTCTGAGACAGGCATTTTCAACACTATATTATATTTGAAAGACAAGAAACAGAAACACGTTGATAATATATTTTTCTCTTGATTGACAAAGTATTGGTGTTGTAGCCCTGATGACTTTACCAGCATTACCAAGACATGCATTTACAAAAACTTGCCCAACGCTCCCCATAATTTGTTATCTTGAAATATAACTCTGCCTCAAAATCTTTACCCCATGCCTTCACTACCCTTAGGAATAATGTTATTCTTGCTAATAAATATCATAGCCCTTTAACAAAAAGAAGAATTATGCTATTTTAAGATCTTGCATGCTATTCTGTAATAAACAGGATCCAGCCATTGAGTTTTCCAGACCAAAATGTTATGCTACAAAGAGCAAGGCACTGTAACTTTTACATACAGTGAATTTCCACTATTGACAAATATTGGGATTATTTTTACAAGCTGTACTTTTTGACTTCCCCCAGATGCTATCAGATGGCAAAAATTCACTGCCCAAATATCAGCAGAAATTAATTCTGTGACTAAAAGCCAAAACAAAACACCAGAAAGCAGTCAAACATAACCATCCTCCTGCAACAAATAGGAAAATTGAAATGTCTCTGTGATTCAGTGATCTGCTTCAACAGTGGCTGCCTTCCCTTTACCTTTCCTCTACCTTCAGCTACAGACTGCTTTTTAGAAATTGTCACCAGGACTAGACTGTGGCATGCAAGAACAGCCAGGGAGCTGCAGTGCCTGAGATCGCTGTGCATTGATTACAGTATCTACTAGAGCCATGTGGTGGATCCTTTGTAACCAGCAGAAAGCCTAAGATGGGAGACAACTGAGAGCAATACACTATTTAGAATAAAATTAGCCTTATGTGGCATAAATGCTGAACAATCAATAGACTACTAAAAGAAAATATCTGCCCAAATAAAAATAAAAATTAAAAAAAAAAAAAAAAAGAGGTTAACAAAGTCTGCTCGTGGAAACCACAGACTAAGCATTTATTCACACAAACAAGGAGTAAATTGCACCACTCCTGCCTTGTGATTTCCGACCACTTCATTAATTAGATAACCTTAAGAATTCTTCTATTTAAGTTATGGTTTTAATATTCAAAATATAGACTTTGGGTATCTATATTCAAAGTACCTAATTGCTAATTTTTCTTATGAAAAAAAAAAAAAAGTAAAAAAAAAAAAAAGTGTACCCTGAGTGATTAATATGCCCTTTTACAGCTTGTCTGTGTTCACTGAAGCTGCCTCTCGTCGGCACCTGCACCTCCCTCTTCCCAGCAGTTCCCTCTGCAACCTTGACTTACGTAAGCAGCTGAAGATGCAAAAGGGAAGCAATATTTTCACGTACTCTACAGATACCACCTACAGTGTCATTTACATTTTACAAAACATTCTAATTTTTAGAAATTCCATTCTGTCATTTAAAAGTAAAATAAAAATAAAATTTCTCTTTAAACTAAGTTCACTTTTTAAAAGACCCATAAGAGGAAACACGGAATGGCCTGACTCACTGGTCTAGCTTCTAACACTATTAATGAAGCTGTAAAGCTGCAGCATAGCAGTGACAATATTTGATGTACAAACATGTTCACCCAACATGTTGCCAGGCGAACATCTAGATGCAGTACAGTAAAAATCAGCTGCGCTGTAGCACTAGAAATCACAACTGGATGGATTTACGGTGCTGCACTACTACCATCTACATAATGTTTTACCTAAATAAACGGGCCGTTTATTGTCCATCGTTCTTTCTGGCAATTTTTGTATTTGTGCAAATCGAGTGCAAGCTTTAATAGATCAGAACAATAGTGCTTTAAGCACATTTAAAATAGGTTAAAATGGTGATAAAGCCTAAGACATAGAAAAATCAAGTTCCAAAGCAGGTATCATTATCTTTCACTAGTTTCTTCTATTGTGACAACTGGGAAGAAAAATTCGGAGGACTTTTGCATCAAGATATACTGCAGTAGTTAGGTAGAAGTTTACCAGATAATGCAACATGTTAAATAAAATAATTCTAATACCATGCTACCGTGCTAAATGACAAAAGGAACCTGAGAGAGTTCATATTGCTTTCTTCCACTAATTAATGAAATTAGCTTTAGTACCCTTATATCTAATTATTGCTTTTCACAATCAATATCTACTTTATTAGATAGCATGGAAATGAAGAATAGATCAGATTCAAAGATTTCAAAAAACTTTTATGATCTCAAAAAATATATCTAGAAATAGTTCAGTTAAAGTCAGACATGCATTATTGTCCTCAGCACTGTAATATTAATATTCATTCAGTATTTTTTGCATTACAACTGCAAAATTTACAGAAGTATTTTTGGATTAATTATTTGTTCATCAGCCAAGGTTGAAAAATAATAAAGAAAAATACAGTGTATCCATAGAAATCTATAAAAATGAATGCTATTTCCTGTTTCCTGTTGTTTTCTGAACAGGCAAACACAGGGAAATTTAATCTAAACTATTCTGATATGAAGTAGAAATACACTTCGCATTTTCCTAAGTGAGGTTTAAGCCTACCCATTGAGTAACAGAAAGATCAACTCCTGGTCCTAGTTCCAAGGTGTTTGGTTTAACAGAAGTCTCTCCACAGGCTCAATCACGTCTCCGTATTTACTAACCTTCCAGCATTTCAGTGCTGTACCAGCCACATCTGCATCCCTGGATCAACAGCAAAAAATATAGATCTTCCTTTGGTTTGTTGTGTTCACACTAGTGAATAGCACAGCTTTCAGAATTACAAAAATCATGGAAATAAGGGTTGGAGTGCAGCCCTCTAATTCAGGTTCTCTTTCTCCCTCTCAGTTCAAGTAAGGGTCAATTAAATCGGTTAATCTTGGTAAATACTTGCCTAGTTTGTGACTCAGGTATTGCAATATAAAGGCAATACTGTATTATCCCACTGGCGCTGGTAAAAATTACATTTGAAGTGCTGGATGCAAGTAGAGTAGGGATTTTTTTGGTTTACATAATCTGAGTATCCTACCTCTGTGTTATTTTCATCTTAAATTCACTGGCTGGGTACTATTCAGGGCTTGATTCATAGTATTTTAGCCACAAAGCTGACATGGAGAAAAAAAAATAAAAATTGATAATTCACTGATTAAATAGCTTCATTTTTTCCTCTGTTAGGCATCAGTACAGAACGTGTCTTCTCATTGCTGACATTATAATGTACCAGAAAACTAGTGTGAACCTTCCCAAACCCAAAGGTGTGGGCTTGCTCTGAATTGAAGTACTGCCAAAAACCAGAAGTGAACATTAAAAAGTGCATAACTTACATAATGCTCATATAGTTGATAATGTAATACACTTTTTTCTCTCCCTCTCACTGATCTGGCTTAGACTAGCAGTGACTGAAGGTTGTTGGTATCTGGTGGCTAATACATGATCTGTGTCATGTTCCCATTGGGAAAGTGTCTGTATGCCAAAAGCATTATTCAAAATGATACCTTGTTCTTTTACATGTAATTATTCTGCCGTGAGCAGTGCAACAGCTGTCAGCCTTATTTACCACACAGGGCCAAGGCGGTGAGGGAAATGCCTCCCATCTGGAGAACAGATCACTTGAACCTTAACACGCCTGCTAGAGGGACGCCCCTGGAAACTGAAAGGCTCTATGTTTCAGACTCTTTAAAATCGGTTTTACTGCCTTCTTCTTCCTCAATAATTAGTTTAAGCACTGCTTCATCGGTCTTTGTATTACAGATCAGTTTTCCAGATATTTTAACCTGTATTTCATGCCTACAAGAAACTTCCCATAAATCTGGAAAAAAAAAAAAGACTGTTTAAAGCACACCAAAATGAAACTTAGAGAAACATATTTGTGTGTCAATCCAAGGGTTGATCTTTACATGCCTGGCTTTATCGAACGTTATTCTTTTCTTGCAAGTTGTATGACTCTGCTCTGCTCCCTGTCAGGGCTACAAGGTCTGAGTGACCTCCTGCCTTCTACTCCTGAGCATCTCCCGATCAGCAAGCTGCTGGCAACTCACTCCCACCTTTCCTCTAGAGAGGATTTTGAACAGTTAACTTTACTTTTTATCTCTAAACTCTAATTCGGAGAATTTTTAAACTTTTGTTAAGGGATTGCCAAAAGCATCACCTCAGTAGCCCAGTCATTGTTCTCTTGAAGTTGTTTACTGAGATCTCTCATGCCTGACCATTGTTTAGTTTCCTGTTTGCTCTTCCTAACAGCTCCTTTGAATTCAACCCCCTTTACTAAGAGAGAATAATGCGAAACAGATAAAGTGGAATACAAATACACACACACACACACACCCCAAAAAAAAAAAAAAGAAGTATTCTTTTCTTTACTCTCCATAAATGTTCATCAGGACTAAATTCACATATGTCAATTATGTCGTGTTTAGAGAAGTAACAAATAGAATGTGAGACGCAGAAGGGAAGTTGTGTACATCAGTGGGGTCCTTCCATCTCATGGTGCTTTAGAGGTAACTACTCTGCAAGCTGACAAGCTGCTAAAGAACAGGAAACCCACAGAGGTGCAAAGATCCAAGCCTGATTAGGCCTTCTTCCCAGACAGAAAGAACTACAACCCCTAGATACAGACCGTGATTAACTAAAAGGGTTAAATCAAATCTCGCAAAAGCCATCATACTTACACTGTCATTGCTTCCTTTGTTGTCCTCGTATTTTGTCTCTATATGAATGGAGAATTTAGGCAAAAATGAACACTGCAACAAAAGAAAAATATGTTTGACATAAAAAATATGCCTTGCTTCATCAGCTGACATATTCAGTACATCCTGTTTGGTGTCTGCTTTTTGATTTTTTCAGATTACTTCAAGAAAAAGAGTAAATGTACACAGAACATAAGACAGGTTTTTATGATTCTGGAGGTATGTAGAGATTCTATTTAAAAGCTGAATACTATAATGAAGATATAAATAAATCAGTGTAAGTATTCTGGAATAACTAGATACAATAGTTTTCATGCTCAATATGCATAGAAGTACAAATGTCCTGAACGTCTTGTTATAAATTCAGTTTGCTAAGATCTGAATAGCAACTAGATATTTGTCATCAGAGATTAGTCCACCCCCCCATATAAAAAATCCAAGGACACTTCACTAGCTGCAGGTGCTAACCAAACAGACAACAATGCTTTGATGTGTGAGGGCTTCTTGAAATTTTCAGTGAGAAATGAATTTGAGCATAATTTCCTATTAATGAAATTAAGATGGATTATGAGCTGCTGTGGAAATTCCTTTATACTAAACCCAAATCAGCCTTTAGATAGTAATGCAAGAAAATTAAGAATGCACAGATGTTTTTCTATTTAAGATAAAATTTCTGTATTTTACATGGAAATAAATTTGTTTTCCTGTGGATTGCTTAATTTAGTTGGCTTATCAAGGCTAGAATTCATAATACTAGGCAACATAATTTCAGTGGAAAAAAATATTTCAAATCTCTTTAGCATTACACAGTTCTTTCAAAACAGCTTTTCAGATAGGCAGATAGAGTAGCTGTCTAACTACCTATGAAGGGTACTAGTTCAGCATCTTTAACTATTAGTCATCAAGTCTTTTCTTGCATTAACTGCCCGTGAAACTGAAGTGCCAGTTCCTTGTATGATGCATCACTAATACCCGATGGCAAAGCGTCTTTGTAAAGACTATGACTACTTAATGTGCTGTACATACAGATTATACAATGAGGAGATTATGATGCCTCAGTGTTCACAGTGCTGTCGGTCCAAGTTTGGACTTGATAAAATTCGGAGAGTTCTTCTAAGGGAGGGGCTGATGACTAAGAAAAGAGATGATTTAGAAGGCCAGCTGTAGTGCAACAAAATTGAAATGAGAAGCTAGCTCCTCTGAGGCTGCAGAAAATGTATTCGTGATTCCATGGATATCACGCAACAAGTCCTTGTTCAATCTTCTTCTGGTCACAGGATATCTAGCATTCACTAAGCACATCTAGAATCAGTCCTTGTTGAAAAAATGAGAGAGTTAGTTTTGCCAGAATGAAGTTCTGGTGCCATGGAAGGTTTCTGCTCAAACTGTCTTGCCATTACCATAATGAAATACTCCCATGTAACATGCTGGTGCTGCAATATGCCCAGACTGCACAGGCTTCTCTTCAGATCTTACAATTGTTTTGCCTTTTATTAAAGATTTCTGTGGAGTAGTACATTTATGAATTCCAATCCAATCTGAACTATGACTAGCTCTCAGCTATGCAACTTGTTCATTGAGTGAATATGTGGGAGGGAAAAAAAAAAAAAAAAATCATGTAGAGTGCAGGATGGGGCAAGTTCAATTACAGATCTGCTAGCTCCTATCACTTATATTTTATGGGCAATTAAACATTTCCTATGTATACATCTCAGGAAGTGCTGGCTGAAAATATACAATATTTATAAGCAGTCTGTCAGAACTGGGGATCTTGTAACACAAATTAACACACAAAAAAAATCCAGATATTCTCCCAATTGAGGTTTCACTACGTATCTCAGTATGTTGCTCCTATTCTGGCAGACATCCAAAGGCATCTGCAAACAAAAGCCTTGGCAAACAGTAGGCACTACAGGAAAAAAAGTTGGGAGGAAAAAAAAAAAAAAAGAAAAAGAAAAGCCAAGATTTTTCATAAGGCTCTAATTTGTATCTTCAAAATTAACTAGAAGGTGGAATGAACATCCAACTCTGTTAATGTTAGCTGGAAGAGGAGATCAATAAAAGGGGTTGATTAGAACAATTCTATAATCAAATGTTCCTAGAGTAAGAAAAGTTATATATGTGATGCTATAAAAAAAACATGGGGAGTGACACAGGGATGCCAGCATGTCCTAAACAGTATCTGATGTTGCTCAGAGGATTCATATTCAGACACCATAAACTGATATTCTAGTTGTTTTCCATATTTGTAGGAGAACATGGAGGGTTGAGAAGTAAATTACTACTGGAGGTGGATTATGAAAAGCAGATTTTTAAAAATGTATAACCTAACAACAGACATCATCTACTGCAGTTTTTAGAGCTTTTGGAAGATAACTACATTGGTGCTAGGCTGGTAAAAACATGGGTTATTGATCTCAAAAATGTAGTACATGGCAGCCCTTGTATTTTACTACAGGGGTCACAGTCCAGGTGTACAGAGCTCTTTGCTGACAACAACCTAGTGGGAAAGCATCCTTGAGGAAAGGAGAGGAGAGTGCCAGTGAGTATTTTGTGTTATCAGCAGTTATTAGTCCTGCTTACTTAACGCAGTAACTGGTACTGCACTACTGAGGACACAATGCTTCGGTCTGTATAACAGCTTTTAGAAACATCCTCCCTGAAAATGGTAGAGATGGATGTCATACTAGCTACAGTCTACTAATTGTTTAGAACAGTTATTAGGAAAACAGATTTTACTAGCATCGTGTCTGCTTATTTCAAGGTTACTGCTCTCGGCCATGTTTTATTTACATGTTAGTGTGTGTTAAATATCTGCCCTCTTAATCTGAGGACCAAAATTTAATTTTCTTTGCTATACAATTAAACAACATCAACACTCCCTAAATAAAATCTAGTAATTGATAAAAACAGAAAGCAGAATGACAGCAGTGGTCTGTTAATAGCGGAAGGGTCATCAAGGCTATAACGTTGAGCAGGCTGAGTATCTAGGTCAGAGCTTTGTGAGTGTGCAAACTTTTAAGTTACACAGTCTGAGTGCAGTTTGTTGGAACCCTCAGTGGCTTTGGGAAGTGCTCTGACTATGCTGACCTCAACGGCTCTGGCAGTGCAGTTCTCTCAGCTCTTCTCAGTAGCAGAGGGTCCACCAGAGGACTTGGTGCTGCTCTCACAGTCCTGCTGTCAGGTTTGAAAACTCCATTGGCAGAAGAAACTTCAGTCCAGCATCTTCCACATTTACAGCTAATACAAAGCTAACACCCTTATGAAAGCAGTTCCTCATCCCTGGTTCTGACTAAAGTATCTTTACCTTTGATTTAACTATAGAAATTCAGGAGTGGTTGGATGGAGTACATTTTTCAGTACACAACAACTTTTTAAAAAATTAAAATAGTTGCTTTTAGGTCACAGTTTCAGGTACAGTGGAGGATAAAAATGCAAAATATGAAAAACCTTTGTGCTGTTTGATTTGAAGCACGGCTACAATTTCAGTGGAAACTTTGAATAAAGCCAAACGCCAGATTTCCCTTTTACCTTGCTATTAAAAAATATCTACTATTTTCAATCACTGTCTGGAGTTTACCAGCAATGAGTCAGATCATGATACTTTGAAATGCAGCCATTGCATATATTGAACTTGAGGCTGCATTAGGCTGCCTGTAGCAGTTCAGCAAGCTACTGCTTGAATCTAGTTGTTGTTTCTTGTGACCCAGAATCTAAACTAATTAAAAAAAGAGATCCTCTAATCTTGTATTGCAAAAAAGAAACATTAAGAAAAGACTAAGGATCTTCAGAGTGTTATACAAGAAGAATTGTAAATGCCATTTACCTCAAGCCACCCCATTAGAGAGCAGAAAGTCATTTTCTGCACAGAGCTATCAAAAGTCACCCTCCCTATGTATTTAGCATAAAAGCGAGGACTGTAACTATCTAATTTGAAATTATAAATGGTAACACGAGTTTACCTCAAATTAAAACTAAAATTCACCAAAAAGTGCTCCATTGCAAATATATCTCTCAAAACCTCAACTGACTGGAACCACTGGTTTAGCAGCTATGGGGGGGTCTCAGTGGCTTTCAGGAACACTTAGCAGGGTCCAAATTTTGAACATTTCACAGAATGTGTCTCATGATTCATCAGCTGCACTCTGACTAATTGGCAGAGGGCTCTGGCAGAACCAGAAAACTGTTTATGCATCATTCAAAAGACTTTATTATTCATCATGCAAAAAAGTTGTTGATTTTTTTTCCCCCCCCCTCCTTAAGCGGCTGCATATTTACTTAGCTGGGGATTAAAAGTGTTATGCAACATCAGAATCAAACTTGGGAGTGAATGGTAGGTAATAAACCTCTTAGTAGATTTTTTTTTTTTTTTAAAGCACCACTCCCTTGCTCCTCTGCCTCCCCTGGGTGCGTGTTCTTCCAGCACAAACCTGGCAGCCGATCGATACACGGAGCACGCACAGGAATGCACAGGGCACTGTTTCCAGTTTTCCATTTCACTATCTCTACAGCTTGCAAGGCTCCTCTTTGAAAAAAACAGAAAGCAGCAAATAGAATTTTTAACTTGAAATTAGACTGAAATCCTACATAATAGACCGAAATCTTCAGAGGTCTATTGTCTTCAATGATAAGGTTTCTCTGTGTGTAGCTCTCAAAGGACGTGTCTTTTATAGTCACTTCCAGCTTTTGTAGATGTGTTATAAAGCCCTTAAAAATTTGTTATGAATCCACTACACCTGTGACATTCAAAGACAAGTAAGGAGAATATTCTATTTGTTTGTTTTCTTAAAACTTTCTATATTTGGCACCCCTTTGGGGAGAAGCAGGAGAGTTTTAAGGGTACTCAAGAGAGTAACCAGTGTCTGTAATAGTAATTGCCACACAGAAGCATGGGTATTTCCAGATTAAAATAAAGTGAAAGGAAAGCAGCATATGGAAAACACAGACCGCAGTTGCATTTTCAATTCACTACAGATAACCTCTTGAAAAATGAAAGGCCTATTTTTAGCATGATGATTGATTAGTGTTGCCATAGCAATAAGCAACACTTACAG